TGGGTAACTGTCCCTCACTTTGGTACGGTGCAAGCGGAGAAGCAGGGCCAAGGCCATGCGCATGTGAATTTGAACACATCCATGAACAGTAGGCATGAGCTTTCGGTGGACATCCAGGCGGACCACACCAGCACTCCACTAAACTCGAGCATAGAGGTTATTGTCAAGAATATTTACGTTCCGGAGGATGAAGCATGGCACTACATAGCCTATGCCTCTCTGGGTTTCAATTTGCTCACAGATGATTTACAGATCTCCTACCACAAAGACACCCTCCTCTCTCATATTCGAATCCCATTCAAATTTCCCCGTCGTTCCGGATAGTCAAGGACTATAACTACCACTAATAGTGATTCACTATTCTTTCTTTAGTATGGTAGTCTCGGCTCTTGAGCACATGAGGTGCGCTTATCGATCTTGTTGCTTTTCAACAGTCGCAGTTGTCGAGAAAATGTATAAGATATATGGTTACGTATTTTACGATATTAGAAGGTATGCCAGTCTGACGAACCGGATATTCGACTTTCACATGTGACGGTTGTCATGAAGTTGGTATTTCTGTAACATAAATTATTTTTCATACCACGAGAAGTCTGACTTGAGTGAAGGTCTCCCAAGAGAGCAAGTTCACGGATAGCCGAAAGACAGATGACGGAATTTCAAGAGAAAAGCAAGACGTCAAGTCGTTGCTAAAGCAGTGATCCAGTCTGATCACCTTCGGAACATACACCCAAGAACAGAGAAAGTTCCCCCAGAGTGCTTGAGAATTCCTGTTGGAAACCCTCAAGCACTCTTAGTTAGGTATCAGACGAGCTATCTTGGGTGTGACGGTGTTTAGATTTTTTTCTCTTTCTTTCTTCCTTTCAGTCTTCTTGGTTCTTTCCTTTCATCCCTTTGCTTCTTTTCTTCAGGTTCATCGAATATCGTGTATGAAGTGGCAGGTTTAAGACTAACTTTTCCATCATTGTGCGGTTTCACTTGATATGTTGTGTTTTAAGCACTGACTGGGACTTGGTAGGGAACCAACGTGGCCCAGTCATGTGCCGCCCTGAAGTGGCAGGTCAAATATAGGCTGGGATCGCTATCCCTACAGCACCGACCTATGGCGTAGGGTCCGAACCATTGGGACGTCAACGAATTGTTGATAACAATATCACATGGTCGACACCATGATTGAGTCACTCCCTTAGTGGCTGGATGGTGGGGTAAAGAACGACAAGCGGAAGCTGTCGTGACTCTCGAGGTGGTCTCGAGTAGTAGCCCTGCCGG